AACACCCGATTCTCAACATAACATAACCATTTTCTCATTTTAATAACTGAAAAAATTGACGGATATGAGTAAAAGCTAAGCAAAGAAAATTTTAAGCTACTAGGACTGACAACACTGCTGTGGTCCTAAAATAAAATAAACGATTTGTTAATTTATTTTAATCTAGCCTTGAAAATGGCTGATTAGCCGAAACCGTTTGTCAAATTTTATGAAATTTTGTGGTACTAGATTTTGTGTTTAATTTGCCACACACACCAGTATATTTAAGATTTAAATTTCAGTTATCTACGGTTTAATGAAAATAAGTAGTTTTGGTTCGCATAAATTATTTTTGATTTCAGATAGGAACATTTTTTTCTTCGTTCATATCCGTTTGCTTTAAAACTAAATAAAACACACAATAGTTCTTTTATCACTAAGCCAGCAGTGCGCCACTGAATGTAAGAGATCCTTTGATGTAAAGTGATTCTCGTTGCTGACAACCTAATTAATACTGAAGGAGGAAACAATGAAAATCATCTTGTTACTTCAGAAATCGTGTAAAACGATCCGAAATCATGTATTTTCTCATTGAATGAAGTACATCTACGGTTTCTAATTTAATTAGATTTTAAAGAATTTTCTCTTTGATGTATCTACATGGCAGTTTTAAAAAACTTGAGAAGTAGGAAATCTGAATATTTCAGTCCTAGAATGTTGATTATTGTAGTGAGTTCTACCAGTACAATTTATAAATAAATAACTGTAGTTTTAGAGACGAAATAATATAAAAAGTAAGAAAAAATGATATTTTCTCATTAGAAACTAAAGTTTCTTCTGACATTTCTTCCTTAGACAATAATGTTTCTTCCTTAGAGGATAAAGTCTCTTCTGATATATCTTCTTTAAAAGATGAAACTTCTTACAATTTGAAAAGCAAAATATCTTCTATGGAAAATAATTTTTCGTCTAATATTTCTTCTTTAGAAGAAAAAGTGTCTTTCATTGAGGAGAAAATAAAACAGATGAAAAAAAAACAGAAGAACTGGAACATACAGAACCGGCCAAGGACGGTGAAATAAAGTGCCATGAGGTGGAGTCAAAGTTGAAATTGGAAGGAGCTGTAAATTCTGCTCGTGTTAAAGCCCCAACTTTCGACGGGAAGATGTCATGCACCAATTACCTTAAACAGTTTGAAACAGCTGCCAGAGCAAACAAATAGTCTGTACAAGAGAAGGCAGTAAATTTGACCATCGCCCTTCGAGGAGATGCTTTAGATGTTCTTCAGACAATACCCGTGGAAGAGACAGATGATTTTGAGCAACTCAAAAAGAGACGAAATATGCGATATGGCCACGAACATTTGGAGCATTTATAGCAGTCACAGTTAAAGAATCGTAAACAGAAACGAGACGAGACTCTTAAAGAATATGTAGATAATGTAGATATTGCCAGGTTGGTGCGATTTGATTACCTATCAGCTCCGGAAAATGTGATGGAATGTTTGGCAGTTCAAACATTTGTTGGTGGACTCCGTGACTCCGCTGCTTTAGAGTATGAGGCAGCTACGCATGCTTCTGGTGGGTACAGTAAAGTGAGGACAGTAAAAGAGAAAGAAGGGGAAGATAAACTCGACCAACTGGTTAACATGATGAAGAGCCTTACTAATAGAAAGATGAAAAAAAGAGCATCAGGTGCTGGAATTGCGGGGAACTGGGACATGTACGCAAATCGTGCAAACGCCCTAGGGTCCCAACAAATGAAGACAACACGCCGCAGGAAAACTAGAACGGGTCGGCCTAAAGGGGGCAACTTCGACCCGAAACCGTTCCAAAGACCCTCTCATACTGATAGCCTCTTTGAAATGTCGCGATGATAGTGTATACGTAGACGGCGAAGTAAATGGTAAAAAGTATACACAGTTGGTGGATACTGGAGCTACTAGGACCATTATACGACCAACAAGCATAAATAACCGTAAGAGGCTTCTACCAACAAGATTGCGACTATAGACTGCCACAGGTGAAAGTGCCAACATCCATGGGGAAATACAGGTTCAGTTGGAAATTGGTACAGAAAAGTTCACTCATACTGTTATTGTCGCTGATATCGAAGATGTTATACTTGGAATGGATGTAATGAACTTACATGGTTTCCAGTTAGACTTACTTTAAGAAGAGAGTGATCAAAGTTGGTGCTCAAGAGGTATTCCTACATCCATATGGGGACAGTACCGTGCCAGTTGCTACGGTGGTACCTGGCAGAAGTGAAATCGTTATAGTAGTACGACTACAAGAAACCAAGGAAGAAGGAACACTTATCATGATGGAACCTTAGAACCACTATAAAGAGGTTGGGCGAGGAATTCTGATCGGAAAGGGTTTGGTCACGACTGCTAAAGAGATTCCAGTTCATCTTATAAACGTTAATGATTACCCAATTACCATCAATTATCATAATTCGGCAGACAACAACTTCTGATAATTCCAACGACAAATTCGAGCAAATGATTGCAGTCAATCTTTGAATCAATTAGAGAAAAAGAAAATAAAGGAATTTCTTCGACGATATCGTGACATTTTTGTACCAAAAGGAGGAAAAACAGGAAGAACTTCTGTTATAAAGCACATAATTGACACTGGTAACGCCAGGCCGATTCGTCAATCAGCTCGAAGATTACCAAAGGCCAAGAGAGAGGAAGCTGAAAGAATTGTTCAGGAAATGAAGGAAGACAGGATAAATAAACAATAAATAAATTAAACTATCGTTATAGTATGTTACACTCACATTTTTTTTAAAGCGGCATTTAAATCCATAATATAATAAAATATCAAATTTATAAAATGTTTGCTGGGGGCTATTTTCAAACTCGAGTGAGACTGAATTCTCTTAAAATTTTCATGAGATATATCATATGTCAACTTGAAAACAGTATTTGTAAAGCCAGGGAAATTTAAAATGCTTAGGAGAATTTAAATTCCCTCGAAATTAACCTAGAGAAATGGTTAGTGGCTTTAAAAATACTGTTTTCATGTTGACGAGTTGACATATGACATTTTCTTATGAAAATCATGAGAGAAATGAGTTCTCTCAAGTTTGAAAATAGGTCCCCTGATATACAGAGAAAATAACAAAATTAGTATTTATTCTGGTCAATAACTTTTAAATTCAAACAAAGAACAAAATGTTATTTGAAAATGTCGATAAAAATTAAAATTTTTGTAATGTAAACCTCCCTATTTTGAAGTTGTGAAGTTTATAATTATCCTCGGATTTCGAAGAAAATCCTGAATTACCGAACAAGTAGACGAAACAAAATAAGGATAAAAGTAAAACAACAACACAGATACTTGATTTTCCCAGACGACATTCTCTACTCGTATTCCTCGCGCTTTCTTTTCCCTCTTGACGACTCGTTGGGTATCCAGCCACCCAACGGACGGGGACCGGGGTTTAGGCGTTACACTTTCCTTCTTTGCACCACGCTGAAGTCCCGTGTGTGGGGCAACGTCGACTATATCAGCCCCTGGTGATTTTGTCTAATATCACACAATGAATATGGTTTTGACAGCAGGCTGACGATGTGATATTATACTGTAATCGACATCCTCGGATTCGTAATTGATATCACATCATAACAAATTGAAATAGGGGTTGATTGTCGGCAGAGAGTGATTTCGCAAAGCTCAATGAATCGATCAATAAATAATGTGGATGGTAATTAACTGGAGCTCTCTAAATTAAGGAAGCATAGACAGCGACTCAAAATGTTTACTTTTGTAGTAGTAAGGGAAAGTGATACAATATCGCTACCCTTGGGAATACCCCAATTTCATTCTAAACCAATAGAGGATTTCTATACAAGAGAAGTGCATCCAACTTGACACAAATGACATAAGAAATCGGGTCACATAAAAAGTCTGTTTTTTATCCAATTTTTGGTTTTTCTTGTCTACTTTTATACCATTTACATATCATGTAACGTACAAAAGACTTTTTATTTTAGGGTATTTTACTTTTAAAGGTTGAAGAGATTTGTCAATATCAGCTGTCGCTAATGTCATAACATAAGCGTAGCATTGCGATTTATTTTTTTATTGTTAATAGTCTATTTGTGTTTCTCCCGGCTTCTCTAAACATTTTAATTTGGTTTTATATATTTATGTAAAATGCAAACATGCTGCTGCAACAAATACAAGTTCCATACACTATACAACCATATACAACAGTAGTTACATTGTGCCCATCTATAGTTACGCCTGTGTTCTACCATCAACATAATTGACAGCTGACAATAACAAATTTGTTCAACCTTTAAATATAAAATACCCTAAACTAAAAAGTCTTTTTTAAGTTACGGGTACAACAAGGTATGTAAATGGCATAAAAGTAAACAAGAACAACCAAAAAGTTAACTAAAAAACAGCCTCTTTATGTGCCCGATTTCTTATGTCATTAGTGTCAATTTTATTTTGTTAAGGGCCGATTCCACCGTTGCGTTAAACGAAGTTTAAAATGACATTTTTACATTAACAATGTCATTTTAATCTCCGTTTAACACGACGGTGGAATCGCCCTAAGTTGATTGCACTTCCCTTGTATAGAAGTCATCTAATCTATTTTTAGTCATGGAGGTTCAGGGGGTTTCCCAATGCGACGGAATAGTATAGGCGAGGAATGAAACGGGTTGATTATATTATTTAGGTCAGTGAATTGCAACCGGACTTGGGAGCCGTTAGCTGCTTTGTTCTGGAATTGTTGGCCAAGTTAGGTATTTTCTACATCTTGAACCTTTTACTGACACCTGGTCGGATTGATTCTACTCTTTTTCTTTTGACTCAAGGCGTTTCTTATTGGAGCTCAAGTAATTTTTCTATTTCAAACAAATTTTTATTGCATATCGTTTGTATGTTTAATTTGTATTCATGGACCATCCATAGTTTAGGAAGTGATCATAACTATTTAGTTTTAAATATTTTGAGCCCAGATAGTAGAAGAAACTAATTTTTTTTTTGTTGCAGGTAGCGAACTAATTTATTCTCTAAATGGCAATCTTGTACTCTTCAATATTGAAACAAATACGTCCAAAATCCTTATCGAGCAGTCAGATCCGGTAAGTCTTTTTATACTTTTTAAACCAATGTTATTTCAAATAAATTGAGAATGTATTATAAAATTAGAAACCAATCATTCTGTATCTGTAACGTGTGGAGGGTGGGTTACCTCCACGGCACTTAGGCCTCATTAGGCCAATTGTGCATCCTCCTAAGATGATAGGCACCTCCTAGCTCGTGAGCCAGCCTACAGATTTAATGTAGTTGACAACATCGCCAAGAGGTGCTTCTCTTATATCGGCCGGTGTTAGCCGATAATCGCCGAACACAAATCTTCTAATAAATGAGAGCGTCGAGCAATTGTAAAGGATATGCTCGATGGTCTCATCTTCTTGTTCGCACCCTCTGCAAAGTGCGGATTCTGACAGCTCCATGATATGGAGATGCTGACCAGTCAGAATGCCTGTGACCAGGCGCAGATTCTGTCTAGTCATAGTCAAGTATTTGTTTGCTGCAATAATGTCAGGATAACTTAAGAGCTCCCTGGCAACTCTGCAGTTTCTTGTTTCACCCCATCTTTCCTTGAATTTCACAAGGGAATGTTCTATAATTAGGTCTGTCACTACCGATTTTGTCAGGCCAATAGAAGGGCCAGGTCCAAAAAGTATTTGGCTGCTTTGTTGGCTAGTGAATCGGCAAGACGGTTACCTTTCGATGTGGCGTGACCTTTAATCTACATTGTTGATGGATACTTCGGCCAAAGCTTCGTGACATTCTAGTACTAACCCTGAATAAATTCGCGGTCTGTTCAGGGTGACTAGTGCTTGTCTGCTATCTGTATCGATGAGCATGTTCCTTCCAGTGATATTGTTTCTGGTTATTTCTTTTGCTGCTATGAGAATCCTCGTTAGCGCTCTTTGAACTACACTGGCAGTATTGCTCACAGCCCATTTTATGTTTAGGTTTAAGAATCTGGAGTATATTCCACATCCAGAGCCTTGTTTTGTTTTAGAACCGTCGGTGTAGATATGAATCGTACCTGCCACTTCTGAATCTTCTATTTGTTCTGTTATAACTTTATATAGCTTATGAAAGATATATATGGGAGGCTTTATTTCTATTTAAAGTAATTTAATAGGTATTTCTATTTTAAGAAATAAAGTTGACGGTCGTTACTTATTTTTGAGCTACCCCGTATAAATAAGTTTACTAACAAAAAACCGCAGTCAAAAATTAAAATCGACGGGTCTAAGCGTTTTTCCAAAAAACAAACCCCTTAATTTTAAATGAATTTGTTCCAACCCACGCGTCCTCACTGTATATAAAATGGTAATAAAATTTCAATTTGTCATGAACACTTATTACAGAACTTTTAAATGCATATCTTAAACGTTCACCAATAGAAATCATCTCAGGGTTTTCTAGTATTCCAAAAATCTGACCAAAAGAAAGTGTTGAAACATCCTTTTCACTTGCAATGAATGTTTTCTTGCTTGTGTCAATACAGTTTAAAGCAATAATACTAATGTCGTCCCCAACAGTGTCTTGTGTACAAAACATATATAATGTAAACTTCTGAGCATTTAGTTTGCCTCCTACAAAATTAACCAATACCAAATCACCATTTTTTAGTTCGGTAATGTGCTTTAGAGTCTTTACTTTTTCAATCTCTTGGTCTCCTTCTTTATCTTCTTTAATATTCCAGGTTGAATCATCTGATTCTACATATTTCACATCTTCACTGGACTCATCTAAGATTTTTATTTTCTTGTAAATTATTTTTACTTTCTCTTTTTTTCCTTTGACATTTTGTTTTGAGCTTTTTTTCCGATCCTTTCGTTCCTTTTCTAGAATCTTTTTCTGTTGTATTCCTGCCATGGTTCTAAAGTTATAACTGAAGGTATTTTTTCTTTTTCCTTTTTAATATCTTTGTGTTTTTCTCAGGCCAAAACAAGGCTCTTTTAAATGGCGATGGTTTTATCGGCTTCTCTGAAGTTTTGCTAGCTGTAATATTGATGTTAATACTAAGAGAAGTTTAAATTTTCTTCTCTAGAACTTCTTTTTGTGCTGTTGAATAAACTACAATGTCGGCTATTATGTTGGAAGATGCTTTGTGAGTTATGGAGTTAGAATTTACAGGATGTTGCGTTTCTGGAGTTACTAATATACATATAAATCCTTTATTTAGTCAAAAACAACTAATACATAGTCAATACACTTTCTCACTAAAAATATATGTCTAACTAAAGTAAGTTATTAATCTAACTGTAGTCATATAAAATGAAATATAATTAAACAACACACATAGAATAATATTAATAACAAATACTTCAATACCTGAATTACCTACTTACATCTAACAAATATTGCTTTAGTTTACGTTTAAATACATTAATTGATTCTAATTTCTTTAGATCTTTTGGCAAGTCATTAAATTGCTGTAGGCCTTTAAAAAAGATTGAATTTTGAACATGACTGATGTTGACGTTACTAACATAAAAATCATTTCTAAGTCTTGTATTATGGGTGTGAACATGATGGTTATAAATAATTTTATTTTGGAGATAGTCAGGTGTGTGACCTATTTTTATTTTAAATATAAACATTAATGCCTGGTAAAGGAACATGTCTTTAATTGAGAGCCAGTTTAAAGATATCTGCATTTCTACAGTAGGTGTCAATCTAGGACATGATAATATTATTCGCATAGCTCTATTCTGCAACTTTTGGAAACTATTTCTTTCATTTGATTTAAGAGATATAATACTGTTGAGCAGTAAGTGAAGTGAGGTAGAATTAGAGAATTAAATAAAACCAGCCTTGACCACTTAGATAAATGCCGTGAACATCTGAAAAGATAATTTATTTTAAATGAAATTGTTTTTATTAGATTTAAGTTGTCGATCTATAGTAACTCCGAGATATTTGAATTCATCTACCATATCAATTTCCCAATCATTATTTTATGATCTTGTTCAAAATATTAGTAAGTCATTATTATTTCACTGTCATCTCTTTTTCTTTCATATTCATCCTGGTTGCTATTACCTTGAGTTGTAGATTTTATGCCAAAAGCAAATAATGCTTTGTACTCTATTCATGTTCTATCTTTGTGTTTTTTTAAATTCCTCCAATTACATGTTCATCCCAGTAACAATCAATCAATTACCAGCTCCGGATAATCCATTGCCAATATTATATTTTGTAATTGTGAAAAGGGATGCTGCTTGTGGATATCGAAAAAGTGGCTTATACTGTATGTAGCATGTTCACAGTGCAGCGAAAATAGTTGTTTCAATACTCCACCAATTATTCAAATAAATGAAGTCGAAGAAAATATTTAATATGTATAATAATTGTTTAAATAAAAAAACTTTTTATTAGTAATTTTCTTTTTTTATTTAATTTTCCTTCATTTACTTCTTTTTCCCGATTACTATCTGAATATACTATTTGAATTAATGCAATTATCATTTATTTATTTTTAAGGAGGTCCTTTCGCCACACCTCTCGCCTCAAATGTTAAAAAAAAAGTTATTAGATTATGACTAAAATTAATTTTTTTCTAATAGTTGAAGTCCTTATTTATCTAATACTGAACTTTTAACTATACCTTACCTAGCAAATTTTTGAGAATTTTTTTTTAAATGTGAGTATTTGTACAGTGCCTCACGAGAAAGTAAGTCCTCAACAACAATTCTCGAATTATACTATTATTTATTGATTAGATGGAGTAGAAAAAAACTAAAAATAAGGTTTTTGAAATATTTAGATTTTGTTTTATACAATAAAATATATACAGTGCGTCCATAAAGTAACGCATAAATTCATTATTGGCTAAATGAACAATAAAATTAGGAATTCCCAAAACAGGTCGATTTTTGATTTCAATTTACTATTGTTTCAAATCATAATCTAATATACAGGGTGAACCACTTTCGTGTAATGACGTCATCACCATTTTTTTCAAATGGAACTCCCCCTTTTTTTTCAATTTCCAAATTGCCTTTGCTGAGCTGATTCCAAAAATGTATAATATGTTACTTCAAATTGGTACAGGGTGGGCAAAAATGCAAAAATTTACTTACAAAGTAATGAAAATAACGAATAAACGTAATAAACACATTAAATGAAATTACGTATTGTTATTACAACTACTTTGAAAAACTATCAAGAACACACAGCATTATTCTTAATAATTGTATCTTACAGCTTTTATTAGTGATCCAAGCCCCTGGACTATAAAAATCTTTTTGTTTGGCATTATCTTTTACCAGTTTTTTTATTTGACATACCAGTTTTTTTTATTTGACAACACTGTCAAAAACATTGAAGCACAGTTTCGTATTGTTAACGCTGTAGAGAAGGTACGTTCGTGAACTTTTTTTACAAAATGCCTTTAACCGAAAGTGACAGGATTGAAATATTAATGATGATTGGTATTGGCGATAAGATGCGGACTCAACAAGAGGTATGCCGATTATTCCATAAAATGCACCCAGATCGTGAACCTATTTTACAATCTACGGTAAGTAGAATAGAGCGAAAATACAGAGAATTAGGACATGTGAGGGATGCAGCAAGGCAAGGTAGACCAAAAATTGATGAAAATATTCAACAAGACATAATTTTGTCGGCTGTAGAAAATCCACACTGTACAGTGCGAGGATTATCTAGGGATTTTGGTATTGGAAAGTCTTCAGTATCAAACATTTTCAAAAAGGTAAAATACCATCCTTATAAAGTACGTCTCATCCATGAATTGGCTGAAGACGACTTTGACCGAAGAACTGAATTCTGCGAGTATATGATGAACCAAAATAACAATTTCATTGATAACGTTTTATTTTCGGACGAGGCAACGTTTTATTTGAACGGTCATGTTAACCGGCAAAACACCCGTTATTGGTCTGATGAAAATCCACACTGGATGCAAGAGTACCATACGCAAAGACCACAAAAAACTAACGTATGGGCTGGTATTGTGAGAAATACAATTATTGGTCCATATTTTTTCGATGAAAACTTAACAGGAGCATTATATCTGGATTTCCTACAAAATACATTAATTCCTGATCTGATCCAGCTTTTTCCTGATATTCAAATACCCACTAATGTAGACCGCAGAATCTGGTTTCAACAGGATGGCGCACCGCCACATTACGCAGTAGCTGTGCGCAATTTTTTAAACACAAATTTTCCACAAAGGTGGATAGGAAGAAGGGGACCAGTGGAATGGCCTGCTAGATCACCTGATCTGAACCCATTAGACTTCTTTTTATGGGGTTATTTAAAATCTAAAGTCTACTTCAACAGACCTGGAAATATCCCTCAACTACAAGACCGAATCAGACAAGAAATACAGAGCATAACACCCGCTATGCTACAGAATGTTAGAGACGAAAGTAATGCCCGGTTCAGTCATTGTCTAACGGTCAATGGAGAACAATTTGAACATTTATTGTAAATTTTCGTTCGTTTGTTTGTTTTTGGAAGTGTATCACATTAATTGCATAACTACATAATTCCATTTAATTTGTTTATTACATTCAGTAACGTATTACTTTCCATAAACAATTTTCATATTTTTTTTTGCATTTTGCCCACCCTGTACCAATTTGAAGCAACATATTATACATTTTTGGAATCAGCTCAGCAAAGGCAATTTGGAAATTGAAAAAAAAGGGGGGGTTCCATTTGAAAAAAATGGTGATGACGTCATTACACGAAAGTGGTTCACCCTGTATATTAGATTATGATTTGAAACAATAGTAAATTGAAATCAAAAATCGACCTGTTTTGGGAATTCCTAATTTTATTGTTCATTTAGCCAATAATGAATTTATGCGTTACTTTATGGACGCACTGTATAGTAAACCGTGGAACTTATTGAGAAATTAATATTAAAAAAATCACAAAAAAAATTTAAGTAACCTAGTTGAAATTTTTTTGTGATTTTTTAATAATAATTTCTCAATAAATTCCACGGTAACCTATATATTTTATTGTAAAAAACAAAACCTAAATATTTCAAAAACCTTATTTTTAGTTTTTTTCTACTCCATCTAATCAATAAATAATAATAAAATTATTTATAATTCGAAAATTGTTGTTGAAGTCTTACTTTCTCATAAGACACTGTACAAACACACATTTTAAAAAAAAAAATTCTCAAAAATTTGCACGGTAAGGTGTAGTTAAAAGTTCACTATTAGATAAATAAGGACATCTACAATTAGAAAAAAATTAATTTTAGTCATAATCTAATATTTTTTATTTAACATTGGTGGCGAAAGAAGCTCCTTAATTAAATCAAGATAACAATTTTTAAATTGGTAAACTTTTTTATATATAATAGTATTAAAATATTATATTTTGTATTTTTAAATTTCTTCCACTGCAGATCAAGTTCGAGATTTTCATGTTTTTAACGCCCCATGCGCCCCACTAATAGTAAATAAGGAATTATCAAACTCGAGAGCTACCGTACCCGATCTTGATTTTTACGCACCTACATAAATTTAAAAACATTGTATCTTTTTTGTTTTAGATATTATCAGCTACATTTGATTTCCAGTTATCTGCGGATGGATTATATTTATTGGTGGCTTACAATTATCAGAAGGTAAGATTAAAATAAATACAATAAAGTAAGCAGAGATATAAAAGATATATCTGCTTACAATTGTACTTTTTTATTTTATGATATGAAAAATATTTTAATTTATATACCAAACCAAGTACATAATATCTACAATTTGGAATAGTGAATTTATTTAATTTCATGTCTATTGCGTTACTGATTCTAATCTCGATAAATCTAATTTGCCAAAATCTTTATATATTGTGTTTTACGATGTGAAAATTATATCATAAATCCTGAAGATTATATTTGAAGTATCTAAAATCACTGTTACGTCATTGGTTGTTGATAAAACTTTTCTCTGAATGTGAAATCCTAAAATCAAAGGTAGGTATTTACTTTTTCACCACAATAAAAAAAAATAAGATAAAATCTAACCGATTAATTATATTTTAATTTTTATCTTATTTATTACACATGCAAATACGGAAACAAGTATATTTGGTTTTCCCCTAAAAATACAGTAAATGGCATGTTATAAATTATTAAGATTAAATCTTAGACGAAATTTAAATACGTTTTTTAAGGAAGATTGTTAGATGATAAGAGAATAAAACCTAGCTAATTACCGATTTGAATGACACGCCTCAAAAATATTTTCATTTTCCACTTCTATACACTTAACTTCATATTAAATTGGAAGCACAAAACCGTGTAAACGAAAGCACGCCACATAGCGAGGGTATTTTTGACAGTTTGTGGTCCAAACATTTATAATTTTGCCAAAAATACATTACCTAATATGAATATGATGATCAATTTGTATTTAATTTTCGTCAGAAACAGTGGCGGCTCGTACCTTAGCACATAGGTGGAGCCACGGATTAACATTTTCGGATGCCTAGCCCAGGTTTTGACTCGAAGTCGTTAAAAAGCATATCTTGGGTAATATTTTAAAGTATATTAACGTGCGCATTTATCATTTTTACAAAATAATGAATAACATAAAAAAACTTACCAGAATTTAGCTTTGAATAGTAATTTATTGCACTCCAAACCTATACAGTAAAATATAGAATATTTTACATTGAACGATATTTGAAGTCTAGTCTCCGTTCTGTTTTATTAGCGAAAAGGTTAATCACTCGTCTATTAAAGTTGTCAATGTTATTTAGAAACACTTTTTCAGCTGATTCAACATTACTAGCGCACTTAGTTTTTCTTCTTTCATTGAGTTGCGTAAAAAAGTTTTTATCCTCTTTAACATAGAGAAACATCTTTCAGCTTCGGATGTTGACATAGGTGTTGTCACTAAAACTTTCAGTAATTTAGCAGTGTCTTGAAAAGTGTACTTCATATATTCCTGCGAAACTAATGATAACAGAGGAATGGCTCCAGAAATGGTTTGCAACTCTTCTCTTTCGTAAAGTACTTGCAGTTCCGATTTTAGACGATTTTTTTCTAGAAATTGATACGCGTTAACTGTATCAGAGAGCAATTGATCAGGAAAGTTTTTTTGGTATTCGATAAAATGTTCTTTCATGAATAATGCGTTAGCTATCGGATGTCCTGTGAAAGTGAATCGTGTCCTTTTATTTTATTTTTCTATTTGTTGAAACAGATAAATCGAAACGAGGGTAACGTCGCCTTTTCAGAGGAACAAGTTAATCTTCGGTTTCTAAAAGCTCCGAGTTTATTTTGTCAATAATTTTATCCATTTCATTACGAATTTTTTGCATTACATTTTCAAAGTTTTTTAGATCTTGATAGAGTCGGTATTAATCGTCTGCAGTTGCTTAAAAATTATTTCGACATGTGGCATGACTTTATGAAAAACTGTTAGCCAAAATATGAAATCTCTGTCCTGTAATGTAAGTTTATAAGCACCGACTTGTTCAATCGTAGAATTTAATTTAATATTTTTGTCGTTCTCTAAAATATCCATAACGTGTATCAGTTCATTTCGGTATTCATAAACTGTATTAACTCCCCGTGATTGGAAATTTCATCTCGTTTGTGATGGGCGTGGTAATCGTCTAAGAACTGCTCATTATAAGGTTAATCTGATGTGCATAGCAATGAACATAATTTGCTAAAGAATATTTATCTTTAATTATTTTTTGTACCCCATTCATACCTCCGCTCATGACTGACGCTCCGTCGTAACTCTGCGCGATCAACTTATTTGGTGTGTCATTAATTAATGGATTAATTTCATTTAAAATGCAATTTGCTAATAAAATGGCATTGTGTCCGGGAGAATTTACAAATTTCCAAAATCTTTCTACTGGCTTACTGCAGGCAATGTATCGTAGAATAATGAGTAATTAAAATTCGTAGTTTCGTCAGCAATTAAAGCTACATAATTCATTTTTTTTATTTCTTTAGCCACTTCTTCATGGTAAACGCCAAGCATGCAGTCCAACAGTTCGTTCTATCTGGTCTTAGAAATGTTGAAATGTTTCTTTAAATCTGCATCTAATTCAGAACTAAAATCTATCAATTCTCGAAACACTCCTTTATTTTTGGATTCTTCAGTTTCATCATGTCCGCGCAATGCTAATTCTAATGCACCACAAAATCTAATACAGTTAATAATTATGTTTAAAATATATCTGTCTCCCAAGTTCCTTTATTTGGATTTTTTTTCTCGAGCGAGTGCGTAGAAAAAGATTTCAGTAACAGATTGCTTATTTTATTCATTTTGCTTCGGACTTCTGGATGATTTTTAATTTATTATACTTTAAAAACTCAACTATTCTAACTACCTAACAAACAAAAATTCAGCACGCATAAAATGTCAAAAGCAATACGCCGAACTCGCCGAGCACGCGATTGAAGCAATACTATTCTAACTATTCATTCCGAGCCGCTTGAAACGTGGCCCCGTTTGATTGTATAAGAAGCGCTTTCTACAGGCGAATGGCGTGACCTTTAGTAAACTTTTACAATGGATTGATATGTAAGCAGCCGGGCCACTGGTCGATGTGCTCGGATAGATGACAGACAGTCAATTGCTTGAATTATTAAATTTGTTGTGTCTAGGAATAATACGACGCAAGTTTTTTTAACGGGATCAAATTAAATAATGGTAAATAATTTATGTAATGTATCGTTTAGCCATAATTTGATCCGACAATTGTAATAATTATTATAATTATTGTAATTAATATAAAAAGAAATATTTTCAGAGACCGAAATATTTACAAATTTTGCGCCAGAGCCAATGCCCTTTGGCCCCTTAGGACAAGCCGCCACTGTTTAGAAACCAGCAACTTTTGATATTTTTTAATTAGAGAAATATTCTCTAAATATTCCATACAATAAGCAGTATTTTAACGTTTTCTGATATTGTACTGTTTTCTTGCATAACAGCAGCACAAAATTTTCGCCTAGGAATAAAAAGTGCCACTTCAATACCTTGATGTATAATATACTATATTTCACTTTTAAAAAATAGACTCTTTTACACATTCTTAACCATTAATAAATGTCATCTCTTTTGCCAGTGTTAAAATATTATAATGTGCAACAAGTGCAGAAAGTAACCAATTCCACATGATGTGTGAAACTTGTGGCACGAGCGAATGCGATTTTCGTTAGTGGGTCTTAGAAAAAATATACTGTACAACTCGAGTGGATTGTCCATATCCCCTCTTGTTGCACAAACTACTATTATCCAATTGTACAAACAATAATGCCAATGAGTATATTATTTATTCATTCTTTGAAAAATTCGGTATGACTCCTTTTGGACAGCATTAAATCTAACAAGACATTATTTTTTAGCTCTTCCGACATAGCTACATTGCCTCCTATATCAGCATCGAATTAAGTACAGGTGAAAAGCAACCATTAATCCCAGAGGGAAAGCCCGCACAATTGGTCGTATGGGCTCCAGTGGGTAATGCTTTTGCTTACGTTACCGACAATAATATATTTTATAAGAAATCAGTAAATGATTTGGATGTAGCAACTATCACTAATACAGCAGGGTATGTTTCCAATGGAGTTCCAGACTGGGTAAATGAAGGTAAGCACTAAGAATAAAATTTGTTAATAATTAATCGTTCCCACTGCAGGAAAATGTATGGTGCAGAGTGTCTTATATGCAGTGTACATAATTTAGTACACATTACCGATGATGTTGATATGTTTGGAAAATTTAATTCATTTGAAAATTATTTAGGTAAATTTATAACTTTAGGTCGCCAAATAATCCTCTACGTACAGCAATTATTTTGTCGTTTGTAGGAATAAAATTTTACATATACGAGTACCTCTCAAAATTTGAAATGTAGTTGTTGTTTAGTGAGACTTGGTCACCAATCAAACGCATGGCTCTCTTCTGAAATATTATATCTACAACCGCGAATACAAAAGATTGAATACCGCTGAGTAATGCTAATAATTCAAAGTAAATAGAAATGAAATATTTTATCGAAAAACAAACAAATTTTATAGATATAATTAAAAATAAACATTTAGATAACTGTCTTCTGAATCATTATTCTCTAGGTTGACCAGTTTCAAAATTTTTTTAAAACAAAATTGATTTAAATAACTTATCTCTTAACATTAGCTTTATTTGTTTATTTTAAATTTTTTAGCTTTAGCTAGAATTTTTATTGTTTTTAAATCCATAGGCCACAAGGTGTGTTTTTGATACGAATACTGTACGACTGAGGCGGCGGTCGTAGGTCAAGAAATTCGAATAAATAAAAGTTGTTATAAAGCGCTGAAATTTTGAAGGTACACTCGAAACTATTTGATCAAAACCTTTACAATGTTTACAGAACTGACAGAAAATTCCACAAAATGTCTGCAACACTAGGTGGAGGTAACTTAATTGCTGTAAAAAAACAATTCTCGTCCAGTATCTTTGACACCGAACATATTTTTGAACCTCTTATATCTATTGATGTAACATCTATAAAACTGAAATTGGGTAAAGCAAATGTTTATGTTTTCTGCATCTACTTTCCTCCGCTCATATCTGCTAATGAACATGATCTTTTTGTCGATATTTTCATGTTTATACACTTAGTTTACGACCAAAATTTTAGAGCAGGCATAATAAGAGATCCATTTAGAAAAATATCTTGTTTAATGAATTTCCTAAACTTTTTTAATATGTCTCAACATAATACAATACTTAACTGCAATAACAGAATCCTTGACCTCGTTCTCTCAAACATTGATGCATGCACTGTCTCTGAAACATCTGAACTCTTGCGACTAGATCCACAACACCCTGCCCTTTCTGTTGATATTTCCATTAAGACTACTCTAAAGACATTATCTCCATCATGTTCTAAAGAATATTATTTTAAAAAAGCTCATTTTCCCAGTTTATAGATTTTTCTTAGTCTACTGTCCACATCGTGTCCATGTCTTGTCCTGTCATTGATATGTTTTTCTTTTTAATTTGTATCTACTTTTTATTTTTTATTTATTGTAAGCAACGTGATAAATTTTTGGATTACATTTGTGTCAAATATATTATTTATACATAAATATAATGACATACTTACATTGCTGTTATATCTATTTATATTTATGTTCCTGTTCCTGTTATATCAATCTTGCATTTTGCTCAAATCTGGTAACTACGCCCTTCTTTACAGAAAACGAAGTTCTGATTGCCCTAAAAAATTGAAGTTAAAAACAACGACCGGCCCTGATCTAATTCCTTCCTTTCTAATTAAAGACTGTGCTCAAATTTTTTGTAAACCTTTACAATATATCTTCAACTTAATGCTATCATCGGGTACGTTCCCAACTATCTGGAAGCTTTCTCGAATATGCCCTGTTTTTAAAAAAGGTAATCGGAACGAAATATGCAATTATAGGCCTATTATTATTCTGTGCAACTACTCAAAAATATTTGAGCTTATTTTGCACGATCATCTCTCTTTCAAGCTCCGTGGATTTTTCCAAAGCCTTTGATAGGTTGGATCATGGCATACTACTAACAAAACTTCACCAGGTCGGAATGTTTGAACAGCTAATAACTGTCATAAAATTCTATATATCTGGACGCACCCAATTTGTTCAATGTCTGGGTCTCAAATCACGTGTATTTTTTCAAACTTCCGGAGTTCCTCAAGGCTCTATTCTGGGTCCTCTTCTCTTCAACATTTTTGTTAACGATATAGTAACTAATATTGATGTAAAATATTTACTATATGCTGATGATTTAAAACTATTCCACACCATTAATAACTTGAATGATTGCCACTCTCTACAACGTAATATTAACCTATTAAATGATTGGTGCGCTGCCAACAAATTGTCTCTAAATGCCAATAAATGCAACATAATGACTTTCTCTAGAAAAGAGTCAATCATGCAATTTAATTATATACTTCAGGATATTACGCTATCAAGGCCTGAGTTGATAAAAGATCTCGGTGTCTACTACGATCCCAAGCTAACATTCGGTGCTCATATTGATAAGACGGTATCATCTTCTTTTCGGATCTTAGGGTTTCTAACTAGGAACATGAAAGATTTTAGAGAGTTCCATACAATGAATAACTATTCATATATTTCACATTCCGCCTCATAGGACAAATATACAGTGAGCATCATAAGTCTTACCCCCCCTAACTAACTCGTTATTGGAGTCTTGTTAGGAAAATCGCCGAGACACGTCGATTTTTGAATTCTACAATGTATATTTTTGTATGAATAGTTTACCCTTAATTTCATTCCTTACTGGAGGGGAGCAACCCTTTCGAAAAATTTAAATGGCATGGGGTGGTGAGTGATAGCTCATTTGAAAGGGGGTTTTATTCTCTATTCAACCGTGCAAAAAATTTTGAAATTTGTTGCATTACATGTTGATTTATTAATGTTTAAAAATAACAAAATATCACAAGTGGGAAAGCAACTTAACTAACAGTGACCTGTCTAATGACAAAAAGTCTTACTTCACGTCTGAACCAAAACCGATATCATCCAGGGCCGAATTTTCATTCTAAGGATGAGTGCGCTACGTTAATTTCCGTTATTCTGAAACAATAATTAGTCGAGAATTAATGAAGCAAATTTTAAAATTTTTTGCACGGTTGAATAGAGAATAAAACCCCCTTTCAAATGAGCTATCACTCACCACCCCATGCCATTTAAATTTTTCGAAAGGGTTGCTCCCCTCCAGTAAGGGATGAAATTAAGGGTAAACTATTCATACAAAAATGTACATAGTAGAAATTAAAAATCGACGTGTCTCGGCGATTTTCCTAACAAGACTCCAGTAACGAGTTAGATAGGGGGGTAAGACTTATGGTGCTGACTGTATACAAATCATCACCTCTTAATCAAGCTGTGTCAAATTATTGTCTCTTAGAACAGAATCTGGACATATTTCACAATTATAGCGGTTCAGGTAAACGTTTATGCTCATAGTTCATTCCTTTTGTCCCTTTTTTTTGCTGTTATTGTGAGTCTTTATTTCTCAATTACTTGTATGGTTTAAAAGTTTGTCTACTACAAATGCACCTTTTGTTTTTTGTTCTTCGTTTTTTGTCATTTTTGGTGTTCGTGAAGACATTCTTTTAACGAACCAATTGTTATTTATTATTGTAAAATATATTATCTGTTTGTTAAATAAATACTCTTGTAGTCATAGCTTTATAGGGTCTGACGTATACTGCCTTCGATCATGGTGGACTGTATTTAAATTAGATTACCTGAGGTGGAGGCCTTATGCTCCACCCTGTAGCCTCTGGAAGATATTCTTGAAGTTCTAGTTGAAGCACTGGGTGTTTTAAAATAAAACCATCACCCTACATTTGAATTTGATATATTCACTGCTTGATACATTCACATTTAACACATTTACAACTTTTTGTTACATAGAAGTATTTACCAGTTACATATTAACTTTTTATAAAATCAAATCGCACATGCTTGGAATGGTTACCGCGAATGCCGGCTTTTTAGGTTAAAGTTTTTGTGACTTGTTGCTTGTTCGACTGAAAAAGTGAAAGTGATTTTAGTTTGCCCTGCTTGTCAACCCGCACCGGCTTTTTTCCTTTCTTCTAATTGGCTCTCTTTAATCGTATGTTTTTACACACGAGACCATTGTTTTTAAGATCTGTCTTATGATTGGGTGAAAAATCTCGCGTGACTAGCTTTAACTGTATTAGAGGCAGCAGGTGTCTTTAAAGGTTACTTGAAAGTTAAAAGGGTGGTTGTTGCATAACTTTAGATAATTGGTTTATACAGGGAGTGTATATTTAGTATTTTATTCTTTTTTATTTGTTAAGTGCGGAGGTTTATACAGTCTATTTAGTATTTTATTCTTTTTTGTTTGCTAAATGCTGATTTAGATTAATCTGCCCTGCTGATAGAACATGTTGAATGTAATTTCAACAACTCTCATGAACATATCCGAATTTTAATCGAATCGTATGCTAGCTTGCTTCGTTAATAATAAAAAAATAATTCTAACATTGTTTTTTGCAATAAATTTTGAACAAAAGGTCCGATGGAAAACTTTTGCATATAAAATGTGTTTCCGTTTTTACAATTGCTAAGAAAATATATCATATTTTTTTTCTTTCAGAGGAAGTATTAAGTTCAAACAAAGCATTATGGTTTTCACCAGACGGAAAAAAAGTTGCCTACGGTAGGTACAATGATACTGACGTTCCTATAATGGTCTTACCTATTTATGGAGAACCTGGGAAACTAGCCTACCAGTATCCCAGAGCAAATGTCATCAAGTATCCAAAGGTAAGGCGATTTCTCTGACTATTTAAAAAAAATAATACGCAGACTGTAGAGTAGCAGTACCTTTTATTAAATTGATGAGATTTTTCAACTAAAATAAGACTTGAAATTTTATTAATAATTTTTAGTGAGTGACACTTCGATAAGTGGCGTTTAAGAACTATTGCACTACTTTCAAATGCAATCAAAATATGACAATTTTGAAAATTTAGCTCTATTGGCACAATAATAAATAAATGTTTTATTTTTTTACAATAAAGGAAGTGGTTTATCTATAATTTACACAAAAATAAAGTTTTTTAGCTACAACCTCTATGAATTCTTTTTAATTATATTATTTTAATAAAAGTTTTCTTTTTAGTCTGGAGCATCTAACCCTTCAGTTTCTCTACACTACGTAGACTTGAGTAATCCATCTACAGACTATGAACTAAAAGTACCCACAGATTTTAATGAGTAAGTGTAAAACAAACTTATCGCATTCTTTAATTTCTCAATTTTCATTATTTGATTTAGAGAGGAAATTTTATCTGCTGTAGAATGGGCTGATAATGACAATATTATTGCAATTTGGTTAAACAGAGTCCAAAATAAAAGCGTTCTTACTTCTTATAACACAACATCCAATCCTGCGACTTCTAAAATAGTAAGTATTTAAAATGTTACCCTATCCATTAATTTGGGAATAAGCTGTAGGTACCAACAGAACTTTCCATTCTTAAAAAACCTTTTGTGGCTACTGATATTATAAATAGATAATCCATAATGAACAAAGTAAGTAGGATATAGTGTAACAGGCACTATACACATCTTATTTTAGAAAGCAAGGAATACATGACTGAAGTAGTGAAAAACAAACCAAAGAACAATTGAAAAATAATCATCTTTGGTGGGAACCCAGTAGCTTGTATGCCGAACCCATATTCTAACCATTACATGACTGGAGCATACTGCGATCTAGTACTTTGTTTCTATATGATTTCTGACTTTTTAGGTAAAAAATCTAGTTTCTAACATCGGTTGGCTAGACCTATTCACACCACCCATATTCTCCAAAGATGGATCTAAGATGGTTCTGATTCTTTCACAAGATCAAGATGGAACTGATGAAGGATTCAGACATATTGTGATGTTCGATACTACAACAGTAAATGCACCTCAGCAAGCACTGACGCAAGGAAAGTTTGTTGTTACTAGCATATTGGGCTGGAATCATGAAAACAATTTAATGTACGTAATCTGGCATATTTTTCCAGTACTCCAAACTACTTTACTATCAATTTAATCGTTTTTTTATTATACTTTTAGTTACTACTTAGCAAATACTGAATCAGACTCTGCTGTTCAGCATCTGTACACAATTTCTCCAGAAACAAAGAATTCTACTTGTCTTTCTTGCTCTTTAAAGTCAAAATTTAATTCGTCCAAAGATTGTACCTATAACACAGCAGAGTTCAGCCAAAACAAAGCTTATTACGTTTTAAATTGTGCCGGCCCTGATGTACCACAAATCTCAATATTTACCAAAGATGGCGTCAAAGTTACCGATTGGATTGACAACGAGGAACTGGCTTCTTATTTGAAGCAGAAGGAACAACCGACTCTAAAGAAATTATCATTAGAAATTGCTGATGGATTTACTGCTAATGTCGTATTGAGGCTTCCACCCAATTTAGATACAAGTGGAAATGTTAAATATCCAATGTTGGTCAATGTGTGAGTCATATATTTTAAATTAAATTACTAATAACCAAATAAAATTATTTTAAATTATCAGGTATGGTGGGCCAGATACTTTCCAAGTTATCGATAAGTTTGTTTTGGATTGGGGTAGTTACTTGGCAGCAAACAAGAGCATCATTTACGCCGCTATAGATGGAAGAGGATCAGGTCTTAGAGGAGATAAAATTATGTTTTCTGGTTACCGAAATTTAGGAACAGTAGAAGTCATAGATCAAATAAATGTAACCAAGTACGTAGTTAACCAAATAATATTCACTTTGTTCTAATTCTACTTCAATTGGGTGTAAGTAAATTTACCGACGTAAATTTTTAGGTTAATACAGAAAGAATTGCCTTACGTTGATCCTTCAAGATCTGCTATATGGGGTTGGAGTTATGGAGGATATGCTTCTGGTATGGCTCTAGCCCAAGACACTGAGGGCGTATTTAAATGTGGAATATCAGTAGCTCCAGTTACAGATTGGGCTCTTTATGGTAAGATAATTTGCAAACTTACAAAAAATCACGATAAAATATTTCTAATAGCTTATTGAGTTTTACCCACATTAGTTTAGTACCCATTCTATTGCAAGTCTTTGACCTATAGGTACTTCAATAAATCTTTGGTTGTCCAATTTCACAGTATGTGTTTGGCCTTTGTATGAAGATATTTAACGATTTTGGCTGTTTCTGGTTTCTTGTGACATAATCGATAAAGTAGGTCTCGCTATTTTGTTCAAGTGTCCTTTTACTAGGGTATGCAGTCATGAGACCTCAACTGGTTCCTATTCAATGCACTTGTTGTGGGATATTCTCCCAGTAATAATTACCAGATCGGAACCAGATATTAACTTTCTCTGAATCTAATCTCGGTACTCGAAGGTTAATATCTGGTTCCGCTGTATCTCCTGACCCTTTTTGCAAGTTCCTCGGCCTGTCATTGCCTCCTATCCCTTGATGGCCCGGCAGCCAAACTATTTCTGTCTACCAGTGTTCTCGCAGTTCTTCGGTATAATCGCATGCCACCCACGACGTCACTTTCTGACATTTTGTTATTGAAAAAATTCGCTATATAGTATCTCTAAATAAATAATTATAATAATTTTATTTTTACTAATTGCAGATTCAATTTACACGGAAAGATTTATGGGTCTTCCTACAGAAACGGACAATTTAGAAGGATATGAAAAAGCCCAACTATTAAAGAAATTTGAAGGACTAAGAAACAAAGAGTACTTTCTTATACACGGTACTCACGATGATAATGTTCACTATCAACAATCTATGATGTGGTCAAAAGTACTTGAGCAGAATGATGTTTTGTTTAGGCAACAGGTTATTATCTATTTTTCAATCATTTTAGATCTTAATTTATTTATATTGTATGGCTATACTAATTTATATATCGCATTTACTTATTCACTATTTATATGGACATTTTTACTTATATTGTTAGAAGTTAACAGAATTAACTTCAAAATTATTGTTTTAAAATGATTTATCACCATGTATACTATAACACCCTGTCACTTCATAAAATACGTGTTAACATGGTTTTATAACGTTTTATTAAATATCTCGTAAACAATGTTTGAAATGTAATTAATTAAGGAACAAAATAAAGAATGTCTTTAAAGGGCATAAGGCCTATCACTTCATCGCGTTCGGCTTTTTCCTGGTTCGGGACACTGCAACGGGCAGACGTGGTACCATCGACCCCAGTGGCGGCGATATCCTAATTCGCTGACTCTAACAATATACTAATTTTTGTATGTGTACTAATCGATCTCTTAACTTGAAGTGTCTATTTATATACCCAAATAGCACTTGCTATTTATATAAAGTACTTTACTTTACTAATTGTTATTTTTTTACAGAGTTACCCTGATGAAGATCACAGCCTTGGTTCAGTCCGGCCTCACCTTTACCATTCCTTGGGACAATTTTTGGACGAATGTTTTATGGAAAAGGAAGAATAAAAACTTTATAATTTTACTTATATTACCAACGACTGCGATTTTTATGTTTTAACTAGTCATAATTTAGAATAATATTTATAGGTATATTGAGTGTTCTATATACTTAAGAGAGATTTTTAAATTAATATAAAAGATGAGAATGTAATGTTTTAAAAAAATCCCAATAAAAATGTTATTTAAGAGCACTGTGTATCATATATTCCAAATATAAAGAGTGGTCCACAAAAAATGTTTCTCGTCTCCGAATTAAATCCAAACTGACACTTAAAAAGAAGAACTGTACACTTAACGTACATGCATTTTTCCAATAGGTATGGATAAGGAAGTGAAAGTGAATTATTATATTATTATTATCTGTTCCAAGTGAACGACTATTTTTCAAAGCTGATTTGACAGCAACGAAAAGCCGAAACTATATCTGGTCAGAGTGACTATTAATATTTTTGAGTTCTCTTCTAGTAAGCTTTCAAATAATGGATCATCAACAATTTTATATAAATATTTAAAGCTCCATAGTAAGTTTGGCTCGTCTATATTTTTTAAAATAATACTTTTTCGTTGTGGTATCTATATTTAAAAAAAATAAATGTTTGTATTGTATGTTTTATTACCTATATCTGAATAAACAAATCGCATTTTAACCATTAATAAATGTACTTTTGTTCATTTCATTAAGAATATATCGATATATTCAAAATATCGATATTTTTTATTAATATATTTATTTTGTCATCCCTACAAACAAGGCTCTACTACTAAATACTGAATAACACGTCTCAACATGGCTCAAAGCACGAAAAGATGGGACTTGCAAAAAAGGCAACGCGACATATGGGCCACGCGGCCCGACTATTCAGCTGGCCAAGTGGCATATAACGAGTACCTAAAAAAAATTAAAAAAATCAAATGAATATGTTAAATTGATACTAAAAACAAGCGAATTTTACAATACTAAAGGTTTGGCCCAGTAAACCAGATTTTCAGATTCTACTGTGGCGCTTAACGTGTTAAGCACGTCTTTTAGAATTGACTGAAATATAGCTTAGCGCGAGACCACTTTAACTGAAAACCGAGAAGTGGAAGTGACTGATGACATGACAGATGGCTGACAAACTTCGTAGTTAGCAGACCATTTCAAAATTACAAAAAGATTAATTTCACAAAATAACTGTAATTTTAATTGGTAATTAGGGTAATTAACAGTTTTATTTATCTTTTTGTGCAATTTGTAACTTTTTAGGTTCATACGGTCTTTCAAATTATTGCCTTGCTAATTTTTAGTATTAAATATTAAATTATGGCACCGGTAGATAGCACACCTAATATAAATTTAAGAAATTTTGAACTGCAGTATTCCCTGCTAGCCTACAATAAAATTCCTATTTCGGAATATATTTCGAAAAAAACTGGATTGACTGTAGTTATAGCAGAAGTGGACGGACCCGTTGTTAATGGATATTTTTGTTTAGGTTAGTTCTCTATTTGGTATTTGAATTTTGAATTTTTTTATAATAAAAATAAATTTTTTGTATTAATTTAAACAGCTTCTTTACGATTTATTGCTTATCATTCATTTAATCGAGTTTCCCCCTGACCAATAAGACACGCAGACACTTTTTTGAAACCTCCGCCTGGACTCCTTTCAAACTAGAACAAATCCGGGGAAATACAGACGGATGGCGGCCCTAGTTGTATGACATGCTAAGTACCCAATCTTAGCCACTTCTAATTCTTTCCGTAGCCTTGTGAATGGTTGCACATTTTGTATGAGTCCAGACCACCAAACCAATTTTTTTGTTGCAAGATGATACCATAATGAAAATTATAACTTTTAATGATAACCTTAAGATTATTACCAATAAGGAACTCATATACATTTATACATTCTTCAAATAAAAATCACACTATCATCTTGTGCTTATGAACAATCAGTTCCTATTGGGCATAAGTCATTAATTCGTGCTGCTGCTGGTAGAAAATTGGGATGTCTCTTTAGATTATAGTTTTCCCTGTTGAAGAAACAACACTTTATTCCTTTCAGAAAAGTCAAAATCACTCAGTTCATTGTTCATCCAAGTAGCTAATACCATACTTAAAGTATCAAAATTTTGAAACTACTGATTACCTACACACTAAAATTTTTAAAACATCAACATACTGAATTAGTTTTCTCTAGTAGTCATCTTGGTCATTATAATCTGTAAAAATTAAGTTGATTAGGTATTTTATATACATCTATTTTCAGCTACTGAAGCATTTGATGATGATGGTTTACCACACACTCTAGAACACCTTATTTTTCTTGGAAGTGAAGAATATCCTTACAAGGGTGTACTAGATTTATTGGCTAATAGATGCTTAGCTTCTGGTACAAATGCATGGACTAGTGTAGACTATACGTGCTATACAATGGAAACTGCTGGAAGTGAGGGATTTTTGTCTCTCATGCCCATATTTTTGGAACATATTTTATATCCTGTTCTTAGGGTAATTAATTTTTTTTACCAAAATAAATTGTTGGGAACATAATACTTAACATTTTTAAATTAGATACTCAAAATAAACATTTGTACAAGTTTTAAATAAGCACAAACAATATATATTATGGTTTTTAAGTGACAAAAAAGAAAGTTATATTTATTTCAATAAAACAGTTCGAAGGTAAGTATGATTTTTGTATTTAAATTTCAGGATGAAGCTTTTGTTACTGAAGTACATCATATTACTCCTGAAGGCGAAAATGGTGGGGTAGTTTATTGTGAAATGCAAGGAAGAGAAAATTCTGCAGAGTCTAGACTCCATTTGACAGTTGCAAGAAACATGTATCCAGGAAAGTGTGGTTATTCCTCTGAAGTAGGTGGAATTATGAAGAATTTAAGGGAATCGACAAATAATGAAAAAGTATGTAGTACTAATAGCACATAATATTCATTAAATTTTACAATGTTAGAATGCCTAATTGTTTATTTTACATTTATAAATATGGCTGAAAATTTTATCTTAGGTGAAAAGCTACCATAAAGAGTTCTATAGACCTGAAAACCTGAAAGTTATCATCACAGGTCAAGTGAACTACAGTGATGTCTTCAAGGCCTTAGAGAAGTTAGAAGATAAAATAATTTCCAAGGTATTATCAGTTCAGTCTATAAGTTTATTTTTTAATGAGCACGAAATATTTTAGGGTCCACTAGAACCTTTCCAACGCCCCTGGCAGAGCCCAGTACCACCCATAACTGATGGTTCTAAGGACTTGGTTATTAAATATCCTGCTGATGAAGAAAACAATGGTTTATTTTGTATTGCTTGGAGAGGGGCTTCTAGCATTAAGGAATATTATTTAGTTGAGGCCACAATGCTTCTTTTGAAATATCTTAATGACTTTTCTGCGTCACCTTTGCCTAAAGAATTTGTTGAAATTGATGACCCATATGCAAGCAAGGTATTTTTTTTTTTTTTGAGTAATTAATTGGTCATTTAAGAAGTGACACCTTCTATCTAAACTTTTTACTAACATTTACAGAAAAAGTCGCTTTGTCTTTAAAGTTGTTTAAATAATTCAAAATATAATTTAGTGACCTCCATGTATGGAATGATAAATTAAATATGTTATCTATAAGAATATGGAATGAAAAAGTGAATTTTTTTTCTAAAGTAGGGCATAAAAACAATTATTCTTTTCAAATGCCAGTTTAAATTTAGAGTGGTATTATTATTTTTGTTATCTAGGTATCTTACAATGTAAGCGAAAATTCGGAAATCTGTTTATATATTATCCTGGAAGATGTTCCTGTTCAAAAGTTACCAGAAGTAGGACCCAAAATAAAAGCAACTTTAAAAAAAATTTTAGATGAAAAATTAATCGACATGGAACAATTACATAGCATCATTAACAAGTATAAATCGGAGAATTTGAGTAGTTTAGAAAATTCTCCTCATGATACTATTGCATTTATGGTTGTAGGTCATATGCTTTATGGTAATTCAAGAGAAGATGTAAGTTATAAATTTCAATAAAAAAAAAATATGTTTTATAGTCAAATTCCAATATTTTAGTTGCAACAGCGAATAAATCCATTGACTGATATTGCGAAACTACAGAAAGAACCGCAATCTTTTTGGTTAGAAATTTTGGATAAATATTTTGTAAATAACACATCTCTAAGTGTTCAGTGTGTGCCTAGTATACAGGAACAACAAACAATGGCGAAAGAAGAAAAAGACAGAATTGCTCTTCAAATACAAAAATTAACTGAAGATGGTTTAAAAGAGAAAGGTGAAATTTTAGAAAAAGCTATTGAATTCAATGAAAGGGAACCTCCTGGTGACATGATCACCTCAGTGCCTATTCCAAGTTTAAATTCTATTAAGTTCCATAATATTACTAGGTTTAAGAGTGATGCAGAACCAAATCAGAAGATAAACTTATCAGTAGCACCAGTTTTTACATATTTTGATCATCTAAAAACAAATTTTGTTTATGTAAGTACTGTTTCATATTACATAATTTTCCATTGTGTATGGCGGCCCATCTAATCAAAAAATGTTTAGAATATGAATTAAAGAAAAATTTTATACGACCCCTATAAAATACCCCCAGATGCTCAGACTATGCTCAAAAATTAAACAACTTATCTCATTGCAAAACGTAAAAATAACTAGAGATCAAAAAAAAATATAATTTCTATACTTTCTTTATTGGTTACTTGAAAATAAAAATTAGTATTCAGACAGGCTGATTTTTGGCCTTTACATTTGATTTAATTGGCTTAAATGAAATAAAAGTTGTGAATTTAAGGCGCAAATCAAAAGTCATAATAATAATAAAAATATATTCTCACCGGATACACACATAATTATAGAGAATATACTTCCAAAATAAATGGAAAATTTAAAAAATCCAAAGACTAATGAAAAGACAATAAAAAAAAGTGTTATAGAATTGCTCTTGAGGTTCTATATGGGAAAAGTCGAAAGTTTTTTTGGTATTTTTTGTGTAAAACAATAATTTTTGAAAATATGAAAAATGTAAAAGTAAAGTTTTCTTGGAATCAATTTTTACCTTTGTTGGAGTGTGTTCAGATTTTGTTTTTTCTGAGCCATCATCTGATATATCAACAATAAAAAAATAATAATTTGCTTAATTTGAATTTTCATCGATTCAATTACTATACTAAGAAAAACAATTAACCAGAAGTGCTTTACCTAGTTCTAAATTATTAATAAACTTTCCTCTGATGTTAAAAGAATCAATTCATTCAACTTATTTAAAGAAAACTAGAATGGTTTTCATGAAACAGCACCTTACAAAAATATTCGCGTTATTGTAGAACAGAAATAGAAATTAAATTTCTCACTCATGCTCAGTATTTTCCTTCTGTGACGTTTCGTTTTTATTTACTAGCATAACAAATTATTATATCTATTTAGATATTATCGTATTTTATGATAAATTAAAATTACTATTACAGATTACCAATGCTAATATAATTAAAAAGCATAATAATGAAAAATTGCATTCATATTAAAAACTGCCTAGTCCAGGAATATTAAAATGACCCTTCATAATTGAAGGTCTGCACTTTTTTTGGAGAAATAATAGTATATTATGACACTAATGCATAATCGAGCCTTTAAAGCATGAGCAACGAGTGCGAATTCTTTATTTATTTATGTAGCACTTACAGAATGTAAAATTCCAAATAGTACAATATATCTAACCTAACACAAACAATTGTAGAGTTAAAAACAATATAAAATAAATTAAAAAATATATATATAAAATATTAAAAAAAAGGAAGAATAACACAACATCGCGGGACGACACAACGGCCTTATTACATGGATAAAAGTATCATAATACATAAATAATAATATTAATAATAAACAGTAGGTAATTACAACTAATATTACTTATTCAGTAAAGTAATAATTAATCAAGAGTAATGTAATAATTAAATGCAAGTTTTCGGAACATATTAAATGCTAGTGTCCAATCTACATCAATACAAATGTTAATATTATTTGCCAATCGGAGCATGGTCACAAGAGGTGACCTGGCAGTGGTAAGAACTAAAGGAATATTAAATATACATGGATGTCTCATTCTTCTCGGAGGTATATTAAATCGTATTAAGTATAGTAGCTCAGGTGAGTTAATTTTTTATAGTTAATAATTTTATATAAAAAAGTAAACATTATCATATTCCTTCTGGTGTGAAGGGAAGGTATTGTAAATTCTTTTCTTAAGTTTGCAAGTCCCTTTTCAGCGCCAAAATATTACAATTAAATATATCACAGTCTGAGTAAAATTTGTTATAGTTCTTGCAAAAGTGATCAATAAATGCTTTTTGTCCGTAATTGGTTCTGTGTCTTTTTACATTCAAAAGTGATGTGTGCCGAGTCCGTCGGGCAGGCACCAATAGTTGAACTTTCTCAAGCAGTGACCCACACTTGATGGAACCACCTATTAATTTAGTCAGGAATAGGAGTAAAGCCTGTTTTCTTCTGCATTCCAGGCTCTGCATGGCGCAAATCATTAATCTTATTTGATAACATGTGTTATGGCTATGAAATCGGTGTTTAAAGAGCAAGTATTTTACGAATTTACGTTCACTCTTTCAATTCTGTTGATATGACAGGTGTAAGTAGGTTGCTAAATAACAGAACAGTATTCCAGGACACTTCTCACCAGGCCATTGTAAAGTGTCATGATTGCTTTTGTGTCATTCACGTACCTAGTAGGTCTCTTGATGAAGCCAAGCATTCTGAGGGCTTTGCATACTATGGAATCTATATGGTTGTTAAAAGATATTGTGGTATCAAAAATAATGCCCAAATCAATAACTATCGAGGATTATTTAGGTTGACGCTGTCAATACTGTAACAGTTAAAAATAGGATTGTGGAATCTTGTAAAATGCATGGTTGTGCACTTAGAAATATTTATAGAAAGAGAGTTATTTTTACGCCAGGTAGCAAACCTGTTTAGGTCAGACTGTAATGCGGAGTTATTACCAGTGTTTCTACTAAAAAACTTTTAAATCATCCGCGAAAAGAAGGCATTGGCTATTAAGAAAGCAGGACGTAACATCATTAAATAATAAGGAAAACAATAGGGGACCTATATGTGAACCTTGAGGAACACCGGATAAGACTGAAACGTCACATGATACGGAATTATGGACTATGACTCGTTGACACCGATTACTCAATATTTAATCCAGTAAAAATAAGAACCAGAGATACCGATTTCGGAGATTTTCTTGAGTAGCAAATCATGACAGGCACTGTCAAAAGCTTTTGACAGATCGGTGTAAATGGTGTCAACCTGGTAACCATTTTCAATTGATGGAATTAAGAAGTCTTGATAGATTGCCAGAGATTAGTTAATGTCAAGCGACCTTGATAGAAGCCATGTTGTTGAGGTGATTATGCATTGTGTCATACAATATTTTTTTAGTATGAATGCGTAATTACAATAATAATAGTAGTAATAACTACAATAATTTTAATTTAAAAATGCAAAATAATGTCCGTTAATTTGACAATTCAAAATAAAATCTAACATAATCTAATATTATTTATTGAAGCGGTTACCTAGCAACCTTTATACGCATGGCGTGCGATAAAGACCCGATTATGCACGCTTTTGGGTTTGTTTGGGATGGTTTATGATACATGAATACTAAAAAAGTGTTTTCTACAACCACATGGATATTAGCTTATCTACACACAAACTACAAAACGAAATAGTATGCTATTGCCTTTAACTGAACGAATATATTTCATATTCATTCTAGGTAGTGAGAACACAGCAAAAAAATTAAATCCACCAATCACAGTTCATATTTTGATCAACTGACTGCTATTATTTTTAAAATTTTAAATAAGTGACAATTCTGTCAAACTAATTGTCAGTATATAATAGTCAGTAAATAATAGAATTTATATTTTTATTTCGTCTATAATTATAAATAATTTGTTAATTTAAAAAAAAACTATATGAAGTCAATTTAATTACGAGTATTAAAGCAAAAAAAAATAAACGCGTAGATAGTCCTGTGGTCAGGGTTCTTGTCTTCCATGCGAAGACTCGAGTTCAAATCTCAGATGGAGAAAATGGAAATAATTTTTTTTCTTGTTTATTTTATTTTATAAATTAGTAAAAATCTTAAATTATTTTTAAATTAATTATTTTATCTTAATAACCTAAAATCATTTTTAATATTTGTAGAATTTCGTTAGTGGGTCGTAGAAAAAATATACTCGAGCGGATTGTCGTCGTGCTCAAATTTCGTCTTCGTGCGATATGGCCATCATATCCACTCTTATTGCACAAACTACTATTATTTATTTTATTCAAAATATACAAAAATCTCTTAAATGCAATACTATTTTGCATATCATTAAATTGTAAATTCATTGTAATGTTAGCACAATTATTGTTTTTGTTCCTATATGAATTACTTTATTAAATAGTTTTCGTTAACGACTTTTTAGATATTTGCAACATTGGACACATCTCAAGTTCCATCCGAACTTAAAATGTACTTACCCCTATTTATAGAATCGCTCTTACAACTGCCTCTAGAACGTGACGGCAAAATCATTTCCTACGAAGATGCTGTATCTCAATTAAATGATGACACTGTAAGTACTTCAGTGTCTCTAGGATTACAACGAAACGGACTGTTTGTGTGCGGAAGTTATTCTTCAACTGTCACGCTGATGCTTCAAGTTGAATCAATTAAATATGAGATCGGCATGAATTGGTTAAGAGAATTATTATATAAAACAATATTCACGCAAGAAAGATTAAAAGTGGTAGCTAATAAGATAAATAATTCTGTAGCGCAGTATAAACGCAGTGGCAGAAGCGTAGTGGGTTATGTAATGAAAGGAATGCGATTTTCTGAAGGTGAGTGTAACTAACGACTATGGCATGATTGGCTGAGGTGGAGCAACTAATGTTTATCTAGAAAAAATAAGAATTATAGGTCAGGAAAAGAGGTGACACAGGTATATTTTTGAAATATATTAATCAGTGGGTATCCAATGGTGTAATTATTATCTCTTTATCAAATTATAACACGGAGTGCCATTGTTTTAACCATTTTGCTCGGGATAGTGATTAGGTACAGGTGTTGTTTGGTAAATTACAATGTTTTTACATTATTTCATTTCGTTATCAGGTGACGGCCGGAATTTGTAGTGGGATCTCCTAGTAAAAGCTCGTCTACTTTGGCGCCTGCGATTTAGTCACCTGCGGGTAGAATTCGATTAAAAAATCTATGTCTATGAACTCCTTTTTGCCAGCACTCTGCTGTTTACCTTATTAAATAAAAGGACAGGCTTAAAAGAGTTTATCTTTATATAGTACTTTACTTCAGGCCTTGCTATACAATTCCTTGATTATCAGACAGAAATTTCCGTTTTTAAGAGATTTAAATAAATGTTTGTTTTAGAAAGCAATATTTTAAAGAATGGAGTGTTGCAACAGAGCAAATTTTTAACAGAAACAATTAGTAAATTAGATGGCGATACCCCTAATGAAGTATTAGACAAATTAGAAAAGTTAAGGAACATTGTTACTGATCCGTCAAATGTGGTTTTATATTTGGCTGGAAATTTGAATCTTTTGAAAAATGCTTCTGAACCAATTATTAATTTTCTACCTCCGAATATTACGGTTAAAGAAAAACAAAAACCGTAAGTTGTGCTTATATTTAATTTGAATTTAAACAATTATTTAGAGTTTAAATTAAATTTTGCTTTTCAATTTTTCAGATTAACTGTAACGCCTGATTCTAAATTCAAAAAGGAATTAATTGATCCATCACAAGGATGCATTGTAGGATTGGGATCTTTAGAATCTTCATTTTTTATTCAAACCACTTCAAGTATATCGTCTTATGATGATCCTGATTTACCGGCTTTAATGTTATATTTACAGTACTTAATCCAAACTGAGGTAAGAATTGCAGCACTGAATTATAGATTGTTATTAAAAAAATCATTGTTTTTTAGGGACCAATGTGGAAACAAATCCGAGGAAAAGGTTATTCTTACAATTATAGAATGTTATTGAAAGTTCAAGAAGGTTTGCTATATTTGGTGTATGGAAGAGCAACAAATGTCGTAGGCGCTTATAAAGAGACCAAAGAACTTATTTTTAAACAACTACAACAAAAAGAATGGGATCAATCTTTGTTGGATTCTGCAAAAAGTTCAATTACATTTGAAATAATTGATGAAGAAAAAACTATCGGGGATGTTGTTAATTTATCTTTTACTTCCTATTTTGATGGCGTAGATTATACTTTTAACAGGTGAGTAATATCATAGAGATTGTTAAAGGAGACGAAATTATTGAGAATCTGTAATGGATTATGTTGTAAAATTCTTCAACATTTTGCTAAAATTATAGGTATGATGAGTAAAAAAAGGTTTAATGAGTGTTTAAAATTATCATTACTCAGTCATACAATAATACTACGAAAATAAAAAAAAATATTTTAGAAGTTTAGATGTTTAAAAAACCGGTTTACTTTAGGACACAACTATATAAGACCTTTTACGCAATTTTTATCTCCTCCATCTATTACAATTGTGTGAAGATATTCTTAACACCCTGTATATATTTTTTATTAACAATTTCATCTTTACATTTAAATTTATTTCTGATACTCCGATTTTTTTTTATCAAACTCATCTTAGTAATATGAATGTAGACTTACTTATTAATAGTAATGAAACAAAATTATTTTTAGGGAATTTGGCCTGTACAACATTGTTACAAAACCAACACAGGTCACCAGTATTAGCTCAACTTTAGTTGATCCACTTTTTACAAATATTGAATATAAAAATGTTACTGTTCAAAATAATTTCCTATCAGACCATTCACTACAACTCTGTGAGTTCAACTTACAAATAATAATAAAAAATCAGGTAGAAACTACACAATCTTTTGTTAGGGATTTAAGTGACAGTAACAAGCTTATCTTTAAAAATATAATTATTAACGAGTTATGCATGGGAAGACATGTATAACTCATCTGAGTTCAATAACAAATTTAACAGCTTTTATTCGACTTTTTTGTACCATTTCAACAACGCTTTTACATTTAAAAAAGCTGTGTGAATTACATAGTATATACATAACTAGTAATAATGATATTATTAGGGATAGATATTAAAAACTCAAAATAATTTATGATAATAAAGTCAAATCAGCAAAACTTTCCTATAATAATAAAAGGGTAATTAATGCAAAAAATTCAACAAAAGAATGTTGGAGAATTGTAAATGAGGCAAAAGGAAAATCAGTTAAAAAAATTACCCGTCGAGATGCTAAATTGTCAAGGCAACAAAATTTCTGATGTACAAAATATATGTAATGCTTTTATTAATCAGTTTATTGATGTATACTATCTTCTACCAAATTATAGTGAAGCAAGGTTTCAAGATTTTTCTATAAGCACTCTATTTTTAACTCCAACTACCCCAAAGGAAATAACAGAAATTATACAGAAAACAACTTGTAAAAAATCTGTCAGTATAGCTGAAATGGATGGAACAATATTGTCTTTTATTGCTGAAGATATTAGTGTGCCTATGTCCTACTTATAAACGAGTCTTTTTATGTGGTGACTACCTAGCATATTAAAAAAATCAAAATCCATTCCTATATATAAAAATAAAGGGTCTGTAAATGACATGGCAAACTATAGGAACATCTGCATTCAAAGTCAACTGGCTAAAGTATTCGAAATGGCCTATAATAACAGGTTCATTAAATTTAAAGAACAACTAACATTTTTAATATACAAAATGATCTGATTAGGTGCAACTGGAATCTTAATACTATTGATGTTGAAGTAATTTATCATGAGTTATATTCAAATTGTGAAAGAGTTATTAATAAGGTTGCCCCTATTCAGACATGTAAGTATAACCCTAATGTACCATGGTTTGATAATGAGGTTTACAATAAAATTAAAATCCGAGATAATGCTTACAAGTCTTTCAAGTCATGTGCAGAACATCAAAAGCTGAATATGTGGAATAAATTTAAAAAATGTAGAAATGAGGTAGTTAATGTGCTAAAATCAAAAAAATTACTTATTATTTTAATAAAATTGATTGTTTCAAAGAAAATCCTAAAGAGATGTGAAAAACTTAAAAAAAACTAGTAAATATTAAATTAAATGATGTGACTGATTATGTTCAATTTAGTGATCAAACATGCCATATTATCCTTTATGATAATGTTGACATAGCAACTAAATTTAACGAATATTTTGTTGAAAGTATTATGGATATTATTGGAAGTATTGATGCAACTGTTCCCTGGCAATTTATACTTACCATTTCACAACTTTAATTTACTAACATGACTTCTATAAAATTTTGAACTACTTAGATAATAAATATTCTGCATTTAATATTCTTAATTCTAAAGTTCTAAATGAAGTGTATGCAACAATTGGGCACATTATTTTAAACTTGATACCGGCAAAGTTCCATCTCAAATAAAAATTAGTACTATTGTTCCAATTCAAAAAGTTAATAATACAATAAAATTGGAAGAATTTAGGCCTGTAAATATTCTCCCGTCAATTGAAAATATATTAGAGCTGGTTGTGTATGAACAACTACTTAAACATGTTAATAATAATTCTATTTTAATAACTAACCAGTCTGGGTTCAGAAAAAAGTATTCCTGTGAGTCTGCATTACAGTTAATGGTGAGTTAATTTAAAAATGATGTGGATGAGAATAAATATGTAGTAGCTGTTTTTTAGACCTGAAACGTGCATTTGAGACCATTGATAGGGGTATTTTACTTAAGAAAATTCAACAATATGGTGTATGTGGAAAAGTATACCAGTGGCTGAATGATTATCTGCAAGGTCGTAGACAAAAAGTACATTTTAACAATCAGAGATCACCCGAGATTAACATTGACACAGGGGTTCCGCAAGGAAGTGTCCTAGGGCCTCTGCTTTTTATACTATATTTGAATGATATTGGACTGTTTGTTAATTGTGAATTCATTAATCTCTTTGCTGATGACACTCTGCTAGCATGCTCTGATATAAATTTAATGAGTGCAATCGAGAAAATGAATAATATACTGGAGAAAGTTGCCCAGTATTTTCAACTTAACAAATTGAAATTGAATGTAACTAAAACAAAAGCACTTATTTTTACAACTAAATATAAATATAGCTTACTTGATATCAATGATGTTAATTTACAAATAAATGGTGAAAAAATCGCAATAGTCCCAACTGTTAAGTATTTAGGTATCCAATTAGACAATCTACTTACTTTTAATGATTTCTTTAATTATATTAATAAAAAAAATTTGAAAAAAAATTATATTGCTTCTCTAGAATTTCAAATAACTTGTCAACTTCAACTAAAATAACAGTATATAGTACAATTATTCAGCCTCGCTTCGATTATTGTGCCTATATTCTTAATTTATTTAATTTCAACAAGTTAAATCAACTTCAAAAACTACAAAACCAAGGCATGCGCATAATATTAAAAAGTAATTGTCTTACACCAATTGCCACAATGTTAAATTCTCTTCAATGGTTTTCGATTCAGCAGAGGTTGTACTACTTGACAATTATGTTGTTTATTAAATAATTCATTCTTTGGCTCCATCCTACTTTCATCAATTTATTTGTTATCATGGGGATATTCATGATTACAGCACAAGATCAACTAACGATATATACAAAAGTTAATTATTCGAAATCACCGGCATCGTTATTGTATAAAGGTTTCCAAGAATATAATGAACTGCCCAGGGGCTTGAAGGATTGTAATTCATTAGCAAGTTTTATAAAAAAAAATTGACAACTTTTATTAAAACTGATAAAATTTGATTTTAACTTTTATATATTTGATTATTACTTTTTTATTTTACTTTTTTATTCTTCTTTTTTAATATTTGGGTTTATGCTTTCAACTGTTTTATTGTTAATTAAGGCTGTCTAAACTCAAGATTAAAAGTATCTTTGTAATGCGTAACAAATTTTATTTTTCTTAACTCAGATTATGTTAATGTTAATAATAATTATCTTTAAGTTTTAAGTGTACTGTATTTGTACTACTTCAATAAATATCTATCTATCTATAATATACTTTTGAGTAAATTTCAACATCTAGTGCTATAGGGGAGTTATGCGATTTTGTTTACACATCTTTAAATAACAAGGAATTAAATATTACCTTATGCTACAACTTCTCACGAGCCTTTGACTCAATTGACCATCGACTGCTAGTAGATAAATTGTACCGAATAGGTATAAGGGGCCCGCCAAATAAGTGGATACAGTCATATTTAAACAACCGTGATCAAGTTGTAACCATCGGATGTAGTAAATCAAATAGTCGAAATGTGACAACGGGAGTACCGCAGGGCTCAATATTGGGTCCTGTTTTATTTTTAGTTTTTATTAATGACTTAGCTCTATCTTGTACAAGTCAAAGTACCAAATATTTTTGAACTTTTGGAACATCAGCAAAAAATGCATCTGAACTTCAATATATTGCTAATAGTGCTGCACATGAATTTTATAGTTATTGTATTTCACACGGCTTATGTAAAAAAATCTGAAATCATGACCTTTCTACCAAAAAATATAACAAACGACTTCAGCTATCTCGTTAAACTAAATCATCGTTGAAGAAATTAAGCAAGTAGCAAAAAGTAAATGGGATCTAGTTTCTTCAATAATTAGATTTTACTGTATCGATGAAAATCAAAAGAGTTGTCATGTCAACTGTTGATACAAGTGTCAAACATAATCGTCGCGATTTAGAGATATAAGCAGACATTTTGTAAATTCATAACCTTCAAGATCTCCTGATCTTGACCCATCGGATTATTGGCTGTATCTAGTCTAAATATTTTTCTTTTCTACAAAATTTTTAATTTGTCCAAATTTTTTTACAAGCCACATCATTCTCAACAGTTTGGTCACTTCTCTATTAAGCCACAGCCTTTTTTTTCAGTTAATTCTACTATAACTAATAAACCTTTAATATTACAGGACTTTATTAGATTTAATCAGCAAAGTTACAATTGAAGATTTAAATAGAGTTGGCAAAAAGTACGTAACACCATTGTTTGATCCTAAAGCAGCCAAAACAGCGGTAGTTGCTAATCCAGCTAAACTTAAGGAACTTGCAGCTGAATTTAAAAAGTAAACATTTTTTACATCATTTTTAATTTATTCATTCTAAATAACCTACTTTAAAATATGTGTATTTTTAGGTTAGATTTGGATCTCACTACCTACAGTTCGCTAGAAGAAAGCTTTCTGAATAAACTCTGATTAGGTTTTTTTGCACCGATACAAAATTATAAATACTCGTAGCTTAAGAATCTAAAAGTGACGTTTCAGGCAGTTTGTTAATATATTTTTATTATTGAAATAAAAAAATAATAAAATGAATTTGTTTTTTTTATATCTTGCTAACCATGGTTTTAATAAAAGGTAAGATTAAAATATTTTTTAAACTTAAAAAAATAATTAAAATTTATCAGCCTGATTTTTAGACCTTGAGTAATTTTGAAGTTCGTATCATGCAGACAGCTGTCAAAGTTTATGAGGGTCCTACATTTTAAATAATTTAAAAATCAAACTACTAGAGATTGTAACAGTGACATTGTATTTATGGCCGAAATCTTTAAAAAAAGTGACGTTGAGGATTTTTATAAATAGGTACCTGAATAGTCAAAGGCCATTAAACTAAAGAAAAATTACAACCAAACAAATTTTTAAATATGTTAAACAATAAATATCTATAGAAGCGTAGAAGGGCCATATTTTTTTTTATTTTTCCGACTTGGAACTCGGGAAAAATGATTATTCCGACTTAAATCTCGGATAAATTGATTTTTCGAACTAAAAACTTGGAATAATATATTATTCCCATTTAGAACTCGGAGAAATAGATAATTCTGATTTATAACTCGGAAAAATAGATAATTCTGACTTTGAACTCTGAAAAATAGATTATACCGACTTAAAGCTCTTAGAACTCAGAAAAATAAATTATTCCGACTTAAAACTCGGAAAAAACAATTTTTCTGACTTAGAACTCAAAATCGATTTTTCTGACTTAGAACTCGGAAAATAGATTATTTCGACCTAAAACTCGGAAAAACCTATTTCTCGTACTTAAAACCTGGAAAATAGATTATTCCGACTTAAAACTCGGAAAAATCGATTTTAATGCCTTACATCTCGGAAAAACCTATTTCTCGTACTTAAAACCTGGAAAATAGATTATTCCGACTTAAAACTCGGAAAAATCGATTTTAATGCCTTACAACTCGGAAAAGCCGATTTTTGACACTTGGAACTCAGAAAAACCAATTTTTCTAGCTTAGAACTCGGCAAATAAATTATTCCGATCTAAAACTCTGAAAAAAGGATTTTTAGAACTTGGAAGAATAGATTATTCCGACTTAAATCTCGGAAAAACGATTTTTCTGACTTAAGTTTCGAGAAATAGATTATTCAAACTTATAACTCAGAAAAATAGACGATTTCGAGTAGTACTTACTTCGCGACCAACCAAGAAATTATACAGGGTATTTGAAAAAGTTAGAAACCTATTTTTTATTTAAATGTTGATACCTCCATTTTGGTTAGTTAAATTTATCAAAGTAGGTCTCGATAAAATGGGATTTTCTTTTTATACCTTCCACATTGTAAGACCCGAGAAAAGACGTTTCTGTAATATATTCACAGTGACACCCAATTGTCGACAAATAATTATTGCGGGTTTTATTGAAAATTTTAAATGTGCTCGGTATACTTTTTTAACAAAAATAAAAGAGAAAGATGAGAAAATTTCTGAAGAGTCAGAAACCGAAGAATCAACAAAATAAATATAATTATGAGTTATGACGTTGCCAATGCTAACCAAAAAAACTTAATTTTGTTACATGTCATTTGCATTACAATAATTCCGAGTCGCTAAATTGATGGTTCCTACCTTACCGAGACTGAGGCCTCTACAGGCAAACTCATAGCATAAAAGCAATAAACGATTTGATTTTCAACGAAAGACTGAAAGCCAATAGTATTGAGATGTTGAATTTGCAGGTTTGTAAAGTATTGACGTAACTTATGCTGAACCACGTCGTAGAGAATCTTTATATGAGGCATATTTTTATCAATCTCTAATAGTGTGTACCAAATTAAAAGTATTTGCTCAAATTTTTACTTATCTTTTAAAAAAGAGGAGCTTTCATTAAATAATTTCTTTAATCTTTTTTAGACCTTTATTTCGGGTTTTCTCACAATATAGGGTCTAATTCAGGATAGTTACATGAAGCCTATTGATTTTGAAAAAATCTAAATAAAAATCGGAAGTTGAAAAAAAAATCAGAAATCAAAAAGGAAAAGCGATATTAACATGAAATTTTTAGTAAAAATCAGGGTTTATAACGTATAATGAAACTTATGCATTCTAAAAAAAAATCAAGACAAAATGTAAGTGTTGGTGGAGCTACGGTGAATCCAGGCTGAGCCATTCTTTTTTGTCATTGCTAAAATTCATAATTTTACATTTTTGTATTAATTATCAATTTTATCTTAACCCTTAAATATTTTCTTACGCCGCCTTTAATAAAAATTTAAAAAAATATTTAGGAAAGAAGAAGATTTGACAACATTGTCTCATGCAATTTCAAAAAACCGTAGATTCCAAAAAACATCAAATACCTATACAGGGGATTAATTTAAAAAAGCAATACCAGAAGTCGCCCATTTTGTTTAAGTATAACTGTCAATTCGAAACTATGTCCACATTGGAGTACTTTTCGAATCCCACACGGCGCATCTGGACCCTATTCTAATGTATGTGGTCAGACGCGCCGTGTGATGTTTCTAAACGCACTCTTGCGCTCGATCTGCCAAGTTCCTTTAATTAACTATTTTAACACTTTTAACTCTAAACGACCTTTTTAGCGTTCGGTTTAGTCCGATTAGTGACAGTTCAATACGCTTAAATGTCATTTAAAAGCACCCTAAAAAACTCCGCTCCTGTCCCGTTCCAGCCCCTGGTCAAACCAAACGCTACTATAGTAGGTTTGTCCCAAATTTGATCCAAATCGCTTCATAAATGGTCAAATAAATGCTCAAAGATAGATATAGGAAATCTTTATTAAACTAACATTATTTTTAAGAGATAAACTAACGATAACGAGGCTAAGCAAGGTACAAAGACTTGCCTGCCTCGGAATAACGGGGGCAATGAAAACAACCCCCACTGCTACAATGGAAGCACTAATAGGACTCCCACCTCTTCACTATGTTATACAAGGGGAGGCAAGATTAGGTGCTTACAGATTAGGGAATACACTGGGAAATCTTGACATTAGGTCAGGTCACATGAGTATCTCAAGGTTAGTGACAGGAGACGTGCTAGACATGAGATCAGACCACATAACCAAGAGGTACTCTTTTAATAATCCATTTGAGGTTTTAATACAGGAAAGAGCAGAGATTACCATAAGGGAGCCCACCCAGACAACACACCAAATCCCAGAGATATCCACAGAATATCTTTTGTGGATATCCAATACATCCACAGGATATCAGAATTATCCCCGTGGATCTAAAATGGATATCCAAATGTCCGTCTATATCCAGAATATAAGAAAACCTATGGATATATCCAGCAAAATATCTAATGGGTATCTCCAGACAATACAAGAAATCCCAGAGATATCCAATATATCCCAGGATATAGAAGATATTCGGATATTCAGCAAAATATTTATGGGTATCTTTAGTAGAGGTTCATAAGTAACCAATGATTATTGAATAACATCGAAAGAAAATAGCAGAGATAAAAATATTTTCAACACTCTGCCTTTGACTTTGCCCACTAAGGAGAAAGTCATTCTTATTAGGACTCTTCACTCTTCAGCAATAAATGGAAATTCTCGACTCGTCTCTAATGGAGTCTGGGAAAAAAATTTCGATCGAACTCAATTACGGCGGGTTGAGCATGAGCACGAGCGAAAGTGGTATCGCCATCTATACTTAGTAAGCAAAATCAATAATTACATATAGTGGATATGCACCATGGTTTGCGTTCGCGTCTAGACTTTGATATATTTAGTGGATGTCCATGGGATATTGAATACACCTTAAAAAAATTAATTTTAAATATCTGAACGGTACTATTAGCCACAATGGCGAGCACAATGGCGTAATTTTTTAATAATTTGCTATATAATTACTATTATTTATGGACATTTGCATGTCTATAAATTACATCTCATGGATATAAAATAGATATCCACCATGGACTGGACATTCAGTGGATATTGGGATGTCAAGTAGATATCCAAAGGATTTGGTGTGCTGTCTGGGCAATGCCCAACGACAGGAACAAACCTGGTATACAGACGGGTCTAAGACTGCGGAAGGCACTGGGGCAGGAGTATTCTCCAAAAACTCTGATACTAACCATAGCTATGCTATAGGAATACATTCCTCGGTATTTCAGGCCGAGGTATACGCAATTTTGCAATGTGCAAAAACGAACAATGAAAGCTGTCGAAAATTAGCATATTCAAATAATGTCAGACAGCCAAGCGGCACTTAAGGGCCATATCGAGTCAGAAAGTTACGTCGAGGCTGGTATGAGAATGCATCGAAGAACTAAGAACACTGGCAGACCGAAATAGAGTAAAACTATTTTGGGTGCCAGGTCACCAAGGGATCGAAGGCAACGAAAAGGCTGAAGAACTTGCAAAAAGAGGGTCAGAAGAAACACCGGAACCAGACACAAACCCAGGAGTACCAAAAAGTACAGTCTGGGGTTTCATAAACGACTGGATTCGGGAACAACATATTAACTATTGGGGAAGCACACCAAAACAGGCACATGGAAAAGCCTTCATAGGCAGACCATGTCCCAAAAGAACTGGAGAACTACTCTTAATAATAATAATAATAATAATAATGTTTATTTTACATCAATATAACATAAATATATAAACAGGAAAAATTACAATAAATAAACATGAATAATCACAGAAGCTGTGTAGGACGTACTCTTAATGAATAGGAACCAGTTGAAAGTGATAACAGGGTTCATGACTGGGCACGCCCCAGTAAAGGGACACTTGAACAAAATTGGCATGTACAATGGGGAACTCATGTGCCGACTATGTCACAAGAAACCAGAAACGGCCAAACACATACTGTACGAATGCGAAGCTCTAGATCGCAAAAGACAGGCTCTTTTTGGACAACCCCAGGTTGATCCAACAACGTATAGAACCCACTCACCCAAGGATCTGTACAAACTTGTACAAGGTACAAAGGTGACAGAGTGGGTGCTATGAACTAATATAGGCTTCAGTGTTATTCGGAGGCACATAGTCAGACGAGCCCAGAAAAAAAAAAGAGATGAACTTGAA